ACTGACATCCCATCCACAGCAATTCGCCAGGGAGTAGAATTGGCTACCAGTATGGCAAAGAAACCTGTAACACCGCATTCACAGCGGATCTGTCAATGCCGCCTTGCAGATGTATTTGTCCCTGGAGACAAAAATGCAGGTCCGCTTTTTCGGCTCAGGAATCCTGTCATGCGAAGTTTGGTCCAGTGCTTATTAGCATTGGAGCGAACACTGATGCTGCGCTTGATTGGTTGAGTCTTGGGGATGAATTTTTACTTAAATTACGGATCTTGATTGGAACTACCCGCAGCAGCAAATGGGAGGCGGTGTTCAGGCGCCAAAATGGAACCTTACTTATGAACAGTCTGTTATTCTGTCGAAGGCCCTGCTCGCTGACCTTCAACCAGAGGCTATCAAGGTTGGTGTGTTTTCATACTATCGTCAAATACATTCTTACTCTTTCGGTGTTAGTACAAGATATCTTCAGCTTTGCTGTCCGTCATTCTCAAGATTTTCGGAATCTTATTCTTTGCAAGTGCACTTTACTTCTTTGGGTTATTATTCATGTAGATCTTGGAATCTGTTTATGTCAGTGTAAATATATGTCTCCGTCTACCCTGAACCCACTGTCCATGGACTGGAAAATAATTCATTTATTCACAGTGTGTTAAATATCTCAACTTCAGGCATGAAAGGTTGTGCTTACCCCCTTGCAGAGAAAATGGTCTCTCAATCATTTCATACCGTCAAGAGTTCCCTACGCATCGGTGTGTTCAAGCACCTCCTTGTACTCGTCCTAAGGTTACCTTAAGCAAAGATGTGCGAGCCGCGCTCAAGCTCAGCCGACAGGAGAAATCTCGCCGCTTTAAGGATGCCCTCGATGATGCTTGGAATGAGCTTGACCAGGCTACAAAGAGTATTGCTGTGTCTCACCACAAGAGCGTTCGCCACGTGCAAAATGATTTATATATTGGTCGTGGATTGCTCCACTCGAGGCGTTCAAAGCTGAATGCATGGAGTGCGTTCTGTTGGAAGAAAAACCAAGAGACCGAGAACCATAGGTTTGTTTGCTTCGCCACTCACATTTACTAACACATTTCATGGCAGATAACCAGGGTAGAGAGGCTCTCAAATCACTCGTCCACAATCATCGGGACAAATACCTTGGACTTTTGAGGGATGATCAAGACAACATCCTCGCAGAATATGCCGAATGGAAAAAGATGAAGGTCACTGGCTTATGCGTCTCGACAAAATCAAAGATAAACAACATTACTCAAACTGTGAAGGCCGTGGAAAATGAGGTGCACCTTCCATTCATTTTGACTTACAACGCTGCTGATGCATAGTCCTTACTACTATTAGCTCAATAGCCTCAATTGTCGCATGGGCGCAGAGACTATTCTGTACACAACACGTGGTTCTATGGACCTTCCTCTGCGAGGTGTCACTTTTTCCACCCAAGGTGTCCAACATTTTATGGGTTCCGTCATGGGTATCGACAATCAGGACTTCATTAGCAAGATGGAAGGTTTCGCAGTGCAAGGAATGAAAGGTTTGATTGTTCATCATTTTTTTTGGCCTGCTCACTCATTATATTCAGGTGCTGCTATGAACCACAAACAGCAGGTCTCTGTGATCTGTTCAAAAATCCGTAACATCATCAATGCCACACTACATGAGTCTTTTAGTGTTCAAAGGCAATATATCTGACTTGTACATGTCCGCAGAACAAGCCACTGGTGATTCTGGCGCCAGAATGCAATGGAGTCATTACTTTCTTAATGTTGTTCAGCATTATCAGGTCACCATTGAGGGCTGGCCTGACAATATGCCTTTCGCTAACCTTGGCCAAGTGTTGAGTGCTCGTTCCGACCTCGAGAAGCTCTACTCAAGATGGGAATCAAAGGAGACAAAATGGAAAGTCTTGACTGACGACGAGTTCCAGGAACTCCATCAGAAACACCTGGAGCAGCTTGCCAGCAGCGAGAATATTGATCACCCACGCCGAACTCGTTCCGACAAAGAAAGAAACACAAAGCACTTGCAACAGCCACAAACACACATCGCCACAAGAAGTACAAAAGCTCTGAGACAGTTGAGGACAGTGATGAAGAGCACGAGCACGGAGACAAAGAACAGGACCAACTAAACCTTCGATCTCCTACACCAATCGCTACTCACACTCATCCGTCTCCAGCGCGCATTGACGAGCAACTGCCTGTTCACCAAACTCCTACACCAGCTGTTTCGTCTGCTCATTGTGCTTCTGATACCCTTTCCAATTCATCTGGCATGCCAAATTTCTATATTCCCAGTGACTCAGATGTGTCAGGAACATTTTTCGGCCCCCAGTTTGACTGTGGTGCTGCTTTGGATGCCTTAAGTGAGATGCTTGATTATACACAGTATACTTTACTATGAAACTTTTTTACAAGTCAGATACTTCGTCCCGCACATTAGACTTTACTATTAGCTTTCACTTTCTTGGTTGTAGTACACATGAACATTGTCATTGTCAAGGTTCAAATAGATATATAGCGCCTATATCAGACTAATACTTGCTTTCGCGTGCAACAAAATAGAACTATGACAAGGCGACCTTTGTCTAACAGGCGCAAGAAGGAAGCTTGGTAACAAGAGACAGGTAGCACTCCCATCCCAATGACCATTCTGTAGTCGGCACAATCCAACCCTCTCAAACCGAATTCTCTGTCCCAGGCTAGATCTCCGATACTACAAGCTACAACTCTGAAGTAAGGCAGAGAAAATCAACATAGTACCACTAACCTGAGCCTGTGCAATGAGAATACGAGTTTGGCAATGGCGTCCTCTAAAATTGTGTGATATGACTGATTTTGATAGGCCTGTGAGCCTAAAAGAACCTGCGCTACGGGACATGGTGTACTGGTGCAGTTCTGACGCAGTGACAAAGGGAGGAGAGGCCAGATACTAGGGCTAGACACAGGGAGGGCGCAGATGCCAAGTTTGGCGCAGTTGAACGCAGTTGAAGGGAGCAGATTGTGCTGCGCAGTGTTGGCAGCCAGAAAGACGTCTTCCTCGTCTGAAATGAGGGCATGAGCAGCCAGTAGTAGGCCCTAATAGCTCAAGGGAGGCAGCGCTGTATGATGGTGAGGAGCAAGGCACATGGGAAGCTGCCACCGCTAACACAGGTCCTAATTGGGAAGGGCCTGCAGCGGAAACTGCCGGAATGATGTTTAGGCGGGAATGGTGGGAATGGCGGGAATGGCGGGAATGGCACTATAGATGGCGCTGGCTATCCCAATTAGTAAGCCTAATTATGCCTGGTGTACACGTACCTTGCCAACTATATTTAGCTGTGGTAATACAGTAGTACTGGAGGTCACAAATGATTTAGGGCAATATTTATTGCTGGTGTTGGGATTTAACTACAAACAAGCCTAATTATAGTTGGCAAGGTACGTGTACACCAGGCATAATTAGGCTTACTAATTGGGATAGCCAGGTGCAACAGCAAGCAGCGATGTGTCACAAACTGTCACACCACGTGATTTACCTCTGCGCAAAAATGCATTTTTGAGGCCGTTTTCAGCTCGTTGGGCGGGTGTACCTTTGCAGTAGCTTCCGGGGGCCTACTGAGGTAGGTCATGATATATTCCCTAGATACGCCTGCTAATGCATGCTCCTCAGCGAGTACACAAGCAACTTGGAAATGCACAGGGGAAGCTCAAGAGGGCGCAGAGACATGCAGAGGAAAAATGACAGGCCAGTCAACAGACGGTTTAGCGACGAGAGAACGACAAGCAGGTGGAGGAACTCCAGATGGAAGCGGGCGATATAGAAATAAAGGTAGGTCTTGAGTCCTGGTCTCCTCACTCTTGCATCCTAATGGTCTTTCGCAGATGGCAGAGCATCTTAAGAAGAGTGAAGCAGAGCTCAACGAGCTACTCACGGAATATTGGAAGCTCCGTCACGAGATGGGTAAATTTTTCACTCTGTCTTTGTATTCATCACTCAATGATATCCAGAGGTATACATGGAAACACTTGCAAACAAATTAAACATGAATGTATCTTCGGACTGAGTGTGCCTACCGGGCCCTCGCGATGCGTAGGTCAACTTGAATTTGTGGTACCTTATTAATTACGTGGTCAGTGGCAGAGGGGCACGACAAAATCATCGTTTTTTTCCCCTTTCTGTGTCATCTTTGGTGAGCAATTCTGGCATTACCATTTCTTCATTGGACTGGGGACCGTGCTAAGGCCAGTACACGGCAAGTGGAACTGAGAATGAGTTTTAGTTTACCGTCAGGGGAACACCTGGTCCGCTCACAGTCCACAAGCGATCATCCGGGATACAAGCCATGTGAACACCAATCAAGTGAAATGTGTAAGTCATTATGATTTGCAAGCAGATTTGTTTGTTCACAGTTTCGAACCAGAATAATATGCTGGTCTCCTCTGAATGCATGACCCTTTCCGCTTCAGATGGTCTGACACAGTTTTCGATGCAGGGTGTAGTATGCATTGGCGACTTTGGGCATACGCAGGTCCTAGACGAAGTGCTCGGGAGGGAAGGATTCACTGCTTATACTGGGTCCTCTAACATGCGTTGGAATGCCCCGGAACTCCTAGGTAGCGACGACATAAAGCCCACCAAAGCCAGCGACGTCTTTGCATTCGGAATGTCTATCCTGGAGCTTGTAACCAAGCAGGCACCACCCTATTCACACAGAAAACGTGATCTCACTGTCATTATGGACATCAGTGACGGTCGTTTACCCCTTCGCCCAACCGAGCCGGAAGATGTCTCGTGGTGGATGCATGATGAACCATGGGAAGTTTAAACAAGCGTTGGGTATGTCATGGCTCAGGAGCGAATGAATATTGGAGAAATCAAAATCTTTCTTGAAAGATTCGCCAGTTACCTTGTGTATCATCCAAATTGGCAGACGGAAGAGGTTGATGTTGAGATTGTTCAGTAAGATGTCCTCCTTGCATATGTCATAAGCTACAGATGTACCTATGGTAAATACTTTATCAAAATAATCTCAGAGAGATCTGCGGCTTCATACTCTGCTGTACTGAGCCTGCCGCGCCTTTGACAACATTCCGAATCGACATCTTGAGCACTTCCCGCACAGAGGGATCCAGCTGAGTAGTGGCCTCCTTGAAGGACGCAGGTGAGCTAGCTGCTAGGGAAAGCAAGTGTGCTATGTCACTAGAGTGTATCGTCGATGGAGGCATCTGAGATGGGCGTAGAAGTAATGTGATTGTTGGCAGCAGGACACTCAAGAGACGAGAACCTGCACAATTGAAGTCAGCTATCATGTGGTATTAAACCAAATTCTATTTGTGGGTACTGATACTGACATTGTTCATCCTTAGCCAACGAGACGAGTGTCGCAAATGTTTTTCAGACCTCGTCTATTGAGATGGCCTGCTGCTCTGACACTGTTCCTTCATCCAATCGAGGTACTATTTTGGCAACATATTGTATCAGTGCTGGAAGAAGCAGCCGAATGCAGGTTCAAAGAAGTTTGCTTTTAGACGCAGCGATTGCAAGGGTTTTTGGCGCAGTGAACAGCCACAATAGCCATCTGAAACACAAAGGCACTCAGCGACATGCATGGGATGTATTGAAGTAAAAGGATACCTGGTCTGCCTTCTTCGAGCTTTTGAGATATAAGGAAGAACAGGTGCTCCACACATGGTCAAGATGAGCACCGCCGCGAGAAGGTTAGTTTTGACTATTCTTGATGAAATCAAGCCTTCGCGTCCCCTGTGTGACTTTAGTCTCCCACAAACATGTAAGTATTTGCAAACCTTATTTTATCCATGTTCAAAAGACACAAGGTAAAAATCATTTTGCAATATCAGACACATCTCCCTCTGCAAGAACATGCATCGTATTATGCAACAGCGTAAAGGTTAACAGACTTACGAATCGAGAATGCTCCTGGATTGTGACGAGAGTGCCAAAGGATGTAGGCAAAAACCTTGAGACAATGAGTGTAAACCGAGTCTGGAGGAATGGTTGCGTTGCTCTGACTCTCCTTGCTGCTGGACTGCGTGTGAGATCCCATGAAGGACAATTTCTGAAAGACTCGCCTGAGATCACATATTGGCCGAAATGTTTGGCAAAAGTGGTTAGGACAGTGATCAAGTGAATGAGCACCTCTGCAGATTCTGTCATAGCTATTCGATGATTGAGACTCATGAATTCTTGAAAGATAGTAGGATCTGAAAGGGCTTTCCCTGAGTAGCGAGGGTCGAGAAGGCGTTTCAAGTGCTCCTAGGCAGGCGATCACTGTGTTAACTCGTGAGCTGGTGTCTGGCGAGGACGTCGCGAGTGCTTCATATATAAGGCCAAAGAGGGGGAAGAAAAGGGGTGCTGACCCTTATGTTGCGGAGTCGATACCATTGACAAATGTCCCCTCCTTCCCAAGGATAGCAGCTGAAATGTTTTGATCGGAGCGGTTCACAGTGTTCGCGACAGCTTGTAGGATCTTGTTGCCCAGGACGAAGCATGATACTGAAAAAGTGATATTCATTGATAATAATTGATCGATAGGATCGAAACTTACTGGGAGCAGAACTACTTAACCAAGGCTTGCATATGACGGGTCTAAAGCCACTGCTGACGCATCATGTATGAATTCGCAATCTGCTCGGATGACAGCATAATCACGAAGGCTCGCAAACCATTGCGGTGCCAAGATCGACCTGTATGGTTTGATGACATCCAAAAGGTATGTCTGTTCAAAACTAGCAATTTCCAGACGAGCCCACACAGAGAGGATAGAAACCCTCAACATGCCTGATGGATTCGGGGCTCAAGTCCACAAAATTGCCCATAGTTAAGTTGCCAGATTCTTGGAAAGTATGAATATCGTTGTAGATGAGATATTGGATATGCTTACCGTCAACCTCTCTGAGTGCTGTTGTAAGTTGTTTGAGAATTCTCCCCATCTGATTTACATCTTTGACAATGCCACAGCCAACGAATACTGCACAGGCTCGATGGCAGAAGACAAAATTTCAGGAGTGGAATCTGGAGAGAAGGCAGGAGTTAGTGCAGCTGTGATAGGTGCTTGATGTTGCTCAAGTAGGAGAGCGTCTGGATAGTCAGGGTCTGGGGCCTGGCAAAACACCTATTGAAATACTTATGAAAGGAAAATGGCAAGAATCACAGTGCACCTACCTGAATGACATTGCGTAATACGACCAATCCTTCTAGTCGTATCTCTGTGACATATGCCGCAGAAGCTGTGAAGGCCATTTTGATCAAATCTGGAACACGAGACACAAGGAGGCCGTTCACTGGAATGCCCTGGTTACGAGCGAAAGGTATGTCGATGTATTCTCTGCGTCCAAAGCGCGCAACAAGTGTACACATCGCAGTGCAAATAGTTGCGTCCTCCAGCATGACATAGCAGCCATTGCTAGGTTGCCTTGCCGTGTGTCATCGTTTGACATGGATGCACTCAACAATTGACCTTCGTCATCCATGAGACTGTTGGCTGTATTGACCACTTTCTGGGAAGCATTGATGCGCATCATAATCCTCTAGCAAAGGTCAATCCAAGTGAATGGATTGTGAATTACTGTCTGAAGTAGCCGGCTCGAAACTACGCTTCTGACTCAATCGATCGATGGGTCACCATCTAGCATGCCAAACAAATCCTCAACAAGGCGGTCTCCACCTAACCGGGACATTGCTAAAGCGTCTTCCTGCGCCAAGTGATAAAGGGCATCAATTGCTGCAAGTTTGAGGCATCTTCTAGGTGAATCAAGATGTCTTCTGAAACGATTCACGATCTCGGGGATGTCCACATGCTCAGGAGCAAACATAAGGAGATGTTGGATGAACCCTATAGCTTCTACTAGGACTAGTCCAACACCCGTTGTGCCTTCAGCACAGGAAGCCAAAAAGAGCGCTTCGCACTCTTTGGTGGCTCCCTGGCCTCGGCTTCATCTGAATTTTGTTGACATTTACTCAATTACTTAAAATCATGTTGGAACAAAATTTCGAAATAAAAATTTACATTTTGAGCACGTTGTTGGCAATCATAAAGTAAAAGTACAAACTACTACACTGCAATAAAAGTACACATCACATCAGTCGGTTCTCTATATAAAAGTACATGCGATTTCAATCTGTAAGTCCTCTAAGCACTTCCGTATACACTACATTTGTTGTGTTTGAGCCTTCTTCATTCTCCGGGAAGATAGCATACACTCTCTCCGGATGAGTGCAGCGAGACAATGCAACATAAAGCTGACCATGACTGAACACAGGAGTCCGCAAATTCAGCCCAACCCACTTGACACTTTGACCTTGTGCTTTGTTGATCGTCATTGCGAAAGCCAGGCGAACAGGGAATTGGCGACGCCTGAGGGGAATATGATTTCTTCAGGACTGGCCTCCAGGCTCATGCGAGGGATCAGGACCGTGTTGCGGTCATCATGGCGAGCTTCATCAACACCGTCCCTCAGAATGCGACACCTAAGGACGCGCGGGGTCCAGGAAAGAAGGATCATGCGGGTTCCATTATAAAGCCCTTCAGAGGGATTTAAATTGCGCAAGAGCATCAGGGGAACACCTGCTTTGACCTCCAATCTGTGCAATGGGAAGCCTGATGGGATGAGTGTGTGAAGGAATTCGGTGGGAATGTAATCATATTCTG